TTAACACGACCTATATATAGCCCTCGTAAGAAAACGATTTTTATTTTGCTTTTGCGTTTAAAAACACATAAAGTATTTTGTGAATTTTAAATTATCATCCATCCAACCGTTGGTTTTAAATAAGACTTCTACGAGATCTGAACATTATATTATAATAACTCGCAATAATACTACACGCATGCTTAATATTATAATAGATTATGATTTATAAATCATGAAGCGTGCAGACTTGGCTGACGTTAATGTTATATCTGCAGTTTTAAATGTTATTAATATTAAGTGCTCGCTATCTCTGTCTCTCTCTCCCTCTCTCCCTCTCTCCCTCTCTCTATCTCTCACTGGTATGGAAATTGCATAAAAAAGTGCTCAAAACAGTATCTATGTCAATCTGCTGAGTGGTTGAATATTGTACTCAAATATTCAATAATATCTTGTAAAGTTCTAAACTATAATCAGTCTGATTTTGACCGTTCTTATTTTTTGTATGAAATATCAATGTCTACATTCAATTTCCAATTTATATAAATAGGGTTATAATACTTTTGGAAAACTTCACCGTTCAAAAAAGTTTTTTTTAAATAAGCACGCACAATTTAGGATAAAAAAATCGATAAAAAATTCGATATATAATTTGTTATTGAATTTTATACAATTGTACGCCCAATATAACTTATCACATTTTCGGAAGCAACATGAATTATTTTATATTATTACAATCCATTTCATATCCATCCAACCGTCGTGGTTTGCATCGATCAACTATTTTCTTTACTTCTTTAATATATTGTGTGATTATAATAGATCATGGCTAAAAAAAAATCAAATTATACTATTATGTAAATCTATTGTATAATATTAAGACCTAAGATAATTATATATGTTAATGCATAATAATAAGGAAATAGGAGCGGGATTGATTTTTGAGTGGTAAAAAGGGGTAAGATTGAGGATTTGTTAAATATAAATTATGTTCTGGCTTTCTGCATACATATATACTAGGACACTATAGGTATACCAAAACGTATTTATATCAACGCCGTGGTTGAAAAAAACGGCTGGAAAAAGTAATCGCCGCGGTCTGGCCACGCGGTACCTATACCTATATAATATATTAATATATTATTATCGGATACCTCTATAATACCCATCTATATAGTTGGTAGGTATGTACAGATTACATAAAAACGTGCACGGCGTTTTTTTCCTCGGTGGCAGTTAACTGGAAATAATAATATATACGATACAACGCATTATAAGCATTATATATATATATAAGGCATAACGAGTTTCACACTCCGAACGGTGATTTTTTTTCTTTAATTTTTTTTCCGTCCGGTAAATAATAATAATTGTCATTTGTGTCCCTAAGTAGCGGGCAACCTTCGTCGCGGGCATATACGACCAGTCAGCATGACGTGTCCGGAATACGCCATTTTACAAAATTATTTATGATGTGTAGTATATGAATATATACCTGAAAACATATAAACACACACACACGTGACTAGTCGACGCCTTTTACTATACAGTACCTATATTATATTATTATACAATGTGTATAATTTTATTGTAATATAGGTACTTTTACAATTTTACATATGTAATATATACGTTTAATAAAGACGTAAAGGCGATAATATTAGTTTTTGTCGAAAACCGAGGTGTCGCACCACGTAATAGATTTGTCGATTATCTATGTACATTTATCATTATATTCTTTGTAAGCACAATTATGCGTATTATAGGCTTTGACGTACAATATATTAATATATAATGTTTTGACATCGCGTGACTTTTAAAAAAATATCGTACGAGTGTATAATACGACGAACATTAATCGTACTCGAAAACAACGTGACACTTGCACATGGAAAATACTTATTGTAAGTAATATAATATTGTATTGTGTTTCCTCAGTGCAGGCGTATAAATCTATTTTAGACGGTTTTATTAATCAATTCTTAAACATTATAGGCAACATTATAATATATACTATATACTATTACGAAGTATAGATGGTACTCCGTCACCCCGTGTAGTTAATATTGTTTACAATCAGACAAACAGTATATAGGTATATACTTTATAGACATATCGTATACAACGGCGTATATAATTGGGGGGGGGGTAATGTTTGTGTAAGAATCGCTAAATGAACTTTTATTTTTTAAAAGACACATTCATACCCAACCTAACCTATCATAGGTATGTTTTTTTTTTTGGGAAAAGCTTAAAAGTATAATATTGTTATTCATAATCATGAAAAAATGTACGGAGACTGAAAATGATATAGTTTGCAGTATAGTTATTTCATTAAAATACGATATTTCACATACCCAAATTACACACATATTGTAGAGATATTGAATATACGAATTTGATTTAGGCGAAAACGATATTTAGCGTGTATCAAATTATTTTTTCATAAATAATATTTTAGGGCATTCATAATAGGCACTTTAAACAGCTATTTATGGTATAGGTACCTATATTTGTTTTTTTCCGTTTCCCTCACCTAAATAGCTATATTATGTATACCGACGCCACTACAGGTTATTAAAATATTGCATACCAAGACGAAATCCGTCTTAAATTATTTTCCCCTCATATAATGATTATATCACATGAATATTCATATCTCAATCTTGTGGTTATACTTTGACGTTTCTAATGATAAAATAAATCACATTTCGATATAAATCCAAACACGTTTTTTATTAAAAAATAATTAAAAATATTTTCCATAAAATTTCTCACGCTGCACGTGGCCCATGACACTTTAGTTCTATTTTAGTCTATTTATCATATTATTTCAGGTACCTACGTTATAATACTCGACAGGAATAACCTAACTGGCTAACTTAAAGTATATAGGTAGCTGGTAATGGCTTCGCTGCATATACCTACTGCTGAACACCGGAGACCAAAGGTATTTGATATTTATCTCGGCGTCGAACACCAAATTTATATTTAAACATCATTTGTCGTTTTGACGTTCTATTGTACTATTATAAAAGACAATCGTGTTTGACTTGCTAAAAATCCCGCACAATGGTAAAAAATGAAAATCGAAAAAATCATTTTACAAACGCGTTTTGGTGATTATCGTCTCGAACACATATAAAGTTATAACTATGAATAACATAATACAACTAAAACTAAATAAGGTTTTGATGAATAAAATATTACTGTACAGGTATACACTAACGAGTTTTTTTTTAAACATTTATTTTAGAATAAGCAGTCTATATACAAATATTTATTTTTACAATATATAGCAATATAGCAGGAGATTTCTATATGGCCTTTAAAGGTTTAAATTACAGCAACCTGCACCCACGTGTTAGGTCTTGCAATGATAACTCTTTTATAGATTTCTGCTTTAAAATATTTTTGTGATCGATGAGTGATGGAACGTACATGAAAAAGTATGCGATTCTCAACCGACAATAAAAAAATAATATTAACTGTTCAGAATAAAAGTTATTCGTACCACCACGGTCAGTGTGGCGGGGTGGGTTTTTTGACGTTTGGTACGGATGAGCTGATGTTTGTTTGTAGGTACAAAACGGGAGATAGGCCTTTGCCGCCGAGAGCTAATACGGTACCTCCAGTCATCTCGGTTCCCATCCCGGATAGTCGACATAGTCGTTTGTACCCTCAAAGTGGTGGTTAAAAAAAGTGAACATAAGTGCTTATACTATATCATTATACCTACTTTCGACCGCTTTAAATTACGGACAGCGTCAAAGCCCCGAAGACGGCCAATTTTTTATTTTGACGGTATTATACGATGGGCTGTTTGACATCGTGGACAAAAGTAAGGTTGATGGCAAAAATCAAGTACTTATTGTTCTTTTAAAAATTCGCACGATGTATTTGCAATTTTATATCAACGAAGATCCCGTAGATACGAGTCGTGGACACGTCATTTGCGCCAAATAATCGTGATACGAATAATATACTCCACACACTTACAACTTACCTATATAAGATAATAAGATATTATAATATAACAATTATAAATATTATAGTTATATATAATATCAATGAGTAGGATATAAACATTAAACAGCATAGGAAGATACTTTAATCTTGTACTGTATAATATCATTCTAGAGGCATCAGGTCTGTTCATACTAAAATAATGGAAGCACTTCTATGGAAAAACCGTTTGAAATGAAAAATAAAAACACAGTGTATTGTAAATTAAGGAAATTATTATTATTGTTTTTTTTTTAATTTTTATCATTATATTCGAACAAAACATTAAACAATGACGCGCTTTCTTCAATTATAACACATACGTATTAAAGTTAACAATTATTTAACTCATTTTCTGTATTATATGCACAGCAGCAAGAGGAGACGAATGTACAAAGGCCAAATTTTTTTTGTTGTACATAAGCCTTTTACATTAACATTTATTTGTTTTATCGTGACGACAATAATAGTTATAATAATAATAATAATAATACATGTCATATAATAATATATATAATATATTTTATTCTAATTAGCCTACAAATGAAAATATCATTTTATTAGTCTTTTGTACATTATACAATAATAATAATAATAATAATTAAAAAACTTGCGAGTTATTTGTATTTATATATATATAATATACTCACTACAAATATATTATTTACACACTGGCATTATACATATTTAACCTTCGATTATTTACAACTTTCCATTTAATATATAATTTATATATTATATTATATATTTATATGTACCACAAGAGAGGATTTAAAAACAACGAGGTACACAAAATGACTAGAAAAATGGACAGTTTCCATTTTTGTGTGTACAAGATGGAAAATAATAATTGAACAAAATTATAAAACACTTATGTACATTATAATATATCCGGATATATTTTATACGACATCAATGGTCTGCGCAGACGGTGATGGTAGAACGGTCACGTGGAACTCCGGCTGAGGTATCGCGTGGTCCAGCGATGATACCGCGGTTGGTACATCGTCCACCATTCAGACTTCGCTGTCCGCTTCGGAACTGTACCCGTCGTAGTGCATCGTCCCGTCATCCCTGTGCTGCGCCGACTGTGGAGAACCCTCTCCGTAGTGGTGCATTTCGCTGTCGGATCCACTGTTCTGGGTCTCCTGCTTCCACTTGTTGACGTGATGCGAGTTCTTCGGGCCTCCACCGCCGCCCGACTGTTGTTGTTGCACCTTGGCCTCTTCTTCCTGTTGCATCCTCTTGTGTTTTGTGCGCCTGTTTTGGAACCAAACCTTGACCTGAGAACAGAAAATACTTGGTTAGTATATATATAAACGTACTGCAGTATACTGCACATTAGTACAGTATTATATCTAAACTACCTATGTTATAACAATAGCTCTCACAAGCTTTTTTTCAAATAAAAGAGGACACACATAAATCATTAAGACCAAATATACAGTATTATAAAATAATGGATGACATTGAAACCAAAAAAAAATAATATTCGGTGACATAGATTACGGTAGGTACCTACTATACGTGACACATATCGGTCGAGGTCCTCGGAACTATATAGGTAATACAATGTTGCGGGTAATACAATGTTTTCAATTTTACACATATCTGAACATATAACAGCTATTTAGGTCGATATATCGTATATACTCAATTTAAACATATTATTATATTACAATTTATTGCTATTTCTATTATTTCTATAACGCCCGTAGACCGCAGTTATAATATTCAATACACGCGTGATGATAAATTGTTATCGTATTCTATACTTATAGGTATATAATATATCACATAACGACGAGTCACGCGTTGTTATAATATTATAATATTATAATATAATAATACCTATGTATAATGATCAATTGCAATAATACTAAAAGATTCTCGTATCCTGATTAAAATAGGCACATGCACAATAATATTAAATATAATATACCATAATATTATATAGGTAATAATATATTATATCTATAAGCGTAAAATTTCAAACTTGCTTTTTAGCTCGTAATACGTAAATATAACTCAAGTATAAATCCAGTTCACACAGACTCGTTGGAAATTAATACATGTGATCATCGATAGTCGATTTCGAGTGCTAATAAATTCGTCTTGTATATGTGCACATTATATTTAATATATTGTGAAGAAAGTCGATTGTTATAATATTGTAATATAGATAGGCACGAAATATAATAGGCACCTGCATATAGTACATAGTATATTTATATATTATAAGAGCGGCTTAAAATAAAAAAAAAATTAATTGAATAAAACTGAAAGAGCGGCGGTGGAGACGATCCTAGCTACTGTTTGTTTTCATTTCCACGCCGGAGACAAATAAATCGGTCTATATATAGGCACAGACGCAAAATACCTCTATATGCATTTAATATTGGTAGTACCTATATACATACATATAATATCGTACTTGGGGGGATATATTAATATATTCGTATATACACGATCGCGATGATATAATATGTGAGTTCGACGAATTGACGTGGATGGGTAGGCCAAAAGGGGGTGAAATAAATATAAGGGGGCCGGTGGCTGTTTACTCGGCGGATGATTGCCGGTTAATCTGCAATACGCGCGCAAACAGTACGTGACGGAAAATGGATCTCGGGCGATTTCATTTCCGAGTAAAATATCGTCGAGGAAAATAAAAATAATAATAATATATAGTAGGTACATACATACTGCAGGGCGCCGCACGTCATACGATTTACGGAAAGGCAAAAAAATACACAAACACAAACACACACACACACACACTAGCACCCACCACACCCAAAAGCACCCGTCGAAAGATGGCCGATTTATAAAACGATTGAAAAATAATATTTGCGCTGCTATAATACACATTTATATTATATAGTCGGTAGGTGGTAGCTCGGCACGACCCACCTCGATAGAGGGAGCGAGTGAGAGAAACATATCGCCAAAGGGGGTCAGCCTTTGCAATCTACTGCTGTATATATGTATGTGAGTGTGCGAGTGTATACGTAAAGGTTAGGGTGAGTCGACCACTATAATATTATAATATTATATACCATATTTACGTTATTCGGGATGCGCTGCTCAAATTGTATTATATTAAACCGACGATTATGTACACCTATAGATAAGTATTAAGTTAGATCGGGGTCTCCTGCAAACTTTTTACACGAAGACCATATAAAAAATTAAAAACTATTTACGTGCTAAAACATATTTTATAATCACATTTTACAATTTTTAGTAGTTTCATAGAAATGTAACATTATGAAAACAATAAATTAGTACAAGTTTTTTAATTATTGTCGTTGTAATTCATACAGAGTTCAAAACTGTACAAAATAAAAATATGATTACTACGTTTTCGGATTATTCGCTGAAGTTGGCGTCTATAGCAGACCATAAAAACTTTTCCACGTGTTGGATGTGGCCTGCAGACCTTAGTTAGGAGGCCCTTGAGTTACAGCTTAGAATCATCGTTAAGACACACGCAGTATTATTGTTATTGTCAATCTATTGAGTTATTATTTTTCCGAATCATAATTCATTTTCCCGTGACAGCTCTCCTGATTGCACCGTACCTACATATACGCCGACGCCGCACCGATTATAATTACTGCGGGGGAATAAAACATTACTTCTAAACGTTGCCGCAATTAAACTTTGGTCGGGTTTGTGCAATATTATTATGCAAATAATCGCGCGGAAATCAATTTCGAGCGGGCGGTAAACCAAAACAAACAAAAAAAAAAGAAATAAAATAACGACTCAAGGTTAAACATTATTTAAGTGTAATTATATATTGTCTACCACAGCAATTAAAAAAAAATATACAGTAAATTATCATCATTTGTTTTTCGGTTTAATTGTAATAATTATATCATACAGACGTTTTTCTCTAATAAATTAATAGTATTCGACTTGAGAAAACTTTATCTAGCGCCGTATACATACACAGTGTAATTACCGAGATTTAAATTTATTATCCCTTGCATAATTAACTCTACACCAATTGCTTGTGAAGCGAATTCTATGTTAATAATAATTACTTTATTTAACGTGCTTATTGCGCGTATACATATCGTGAATATTGTTTTCTACGATCTATATATACACGCGCTGTAATATGTTTGAACGTTTCTTTAAATTATTTTACAACGTTCATAAAAATATTTATTGTTCTCAATTATAGAACGATCTTCCGGTTTTAACTACTGCACCGAAGTAAATTGTAATACATAATGCTTTACGCCTAATGATATTTGGTGGGTAGGAGGGGGGAGGGGTGTATATAATAAGGCCAACCGGAGTTCACAATAACAATTAAAGAATATTATTGTTTGACAGCTATGTTTATAGGTACCATTGGTGGAGTGCAGCAGACTCAAAATCTTCCAATCGCTAAACTTGGCATTTCTATTACATGGAGAGCACACATAAAAACTTGTAAGACTATACGGTTAAGCTCTTCGAAGACCGATGGGACTTTTCGTTTTCCTTATTTCTGCAGGAAGAAATATGAATTGTTTGACATTCGTCAAAAGAATAACTATGCAAACGCGGTAGGGGGAATTGTTTTTTATTTTATTTATAACGGTTGATTACCCCTTTTGCGTCTTCCAACCCTATCCGGTACAAGTCCGGAGAATTATTCGTCGTGACGGCAACAGCGACGATGATAAATACGAGTCGTTTTGGGTCGAGGCGAAAAAAGCTATAGACGATGTTCTGTATTATTATACACGAAGATGACTATACGAGTATATATGCATATTATATATTTATATACGAACGATGGCAATTTCCTTTTTCCGAGGAGTACCCGAAACCACTGCTGCCGATGTCATCATGCTACGCGACGACAGCAAGGCGTTTTTAAGTCAACCCACCTCCAACCTTTTCTTCCACAAGCTGCAGCACAAGGGAGGTAATCAAATATCTGTTTTCTAGGGTATTATTTATTTTTTATTTTACTTCCTCCGGATTTATAGCCATTTCCCGGTAGCGCATCAAAATATGGTACGTGACACAATATAATATTATATTATATATCATACATAGCCGCCTACGCTCCGGGACAAAATTTTCACATAATATATGATATATACAATATAATAAAGTCGTAAAACCACCCGTCGGGGAAAGCGCCGAATTATACTTACATATATTTTATAATATATGTGTGTGTGTAATATAGTTACTATATGTGTACAGATGATTAATCAATCATGAGCAGCGCCATGTTTTCCTTTAGCAAAGAAATCATTTGAATTTTGACTTTCACAATTTGAAGTATACATTACATACTTAAGGTCCTATTAAATGGAATAAAAAAAATGTAAGTACTTATTAAAACTATGATTGAATGATGAACGAGAGGTGGACATGGTTGGTAGTACTAATTTTTTCACGCCAGAGTTTTCGATCAAGCTATAGTATTTAAAGAGCGAAGTGAATCTATACCAATATAAACTTTGTCGTACATTTAACATTATTATTTAATAATAATAACGGCATGTTCATAATATACGTGATGTAAACATAGGTATAACATCGTTATCTGATCCGCAGAATCGTATATGCGAACACTGCTCGAATTACGTATTTACAGTGTTTACACACACATATAGGGATGCATAAAAACCAATTTTCAGCAAAAACAGTACTCGACACGTTTTCCCATTAAGCTTTTCTGACTGGTGTTTGCCAGAGACTTTTCGCAGTACCTATATGTGATTTAATTTTATAATAAAATGTATGACACGCACCAAATAAACACGTGATCGCATGCGGGGTACCGGAGTTTTTTTTCTAGCGAGCGAGTTTTTATTTTGTATTATTGTTTATGGCAGTGGCGCCGAACACGTACTTAAGGTGGTGCATTTGCACCACCTACAATTGGTGGGTGGGTACTGGCCACTGGGTGTCTGGGTCCATATAGTTTTGAAAAACTGACACTAAATAGCCAGTAAGTACCTACTTAATACGAACTTGTCAATACTTTAATAATTGATGGCCAAGTAATTGTAGAAAGTAGAAACAAAGTGTAATAAATATTACTAATAATGCATACTAATGTTTACAAATTAAAACTATTAATATTCGGCGCTGATCAAGGTAGTACACCGTACACCGCACATGCGCACTAGATGATACAATACTCTGTATATAATATACAAAATAATGATCATGAAAATCCCAAACACGATTTATGCCAGTAGTGTTCGACTTCATTGGTCAGAGAATAAAACTATAAATATACATACGGAAGAACAAATTC